GCCTTTGCCTTCTCTGGTGTGGCAGATCGACTCATTGCCTTCAGTGGCAGAGATCTGCATTTCAGAGCTCAGATGCAGTGGCTTTTGCTTCAGGGAGCAGAAGGAGAGGAAGTTGTGTCTGGGGAAAGTTTCTCTGCTCTACAATCCAGAAAGACCTGCTGGAGTTCAATGAGTTTTCCTCAGCAGGAGTTGACAGGAATCCCAGCTGGATTCTTGAGTTGGAAGCTGTTCTCCCTTGCTTGGCTGAGCTAAGTCAGTGTAAAATACAGGCTAGTATGTTCCTGTGTTGTTCAGCGAGCTGCTGCGATCAATTATTTTTGTTGTTGTTTTTTTATTGCTGCCTTGCATAAAACTGCATCCTCAGATAAGCAAGCAAATAAAAGGCCATTGACAGGTGTTCAGCTCCCTGCACTGTTCGCTCTGATATAGAGTTTGCACAGGGAAGTACCAACCCTAGGCAATGGAAGGAGGTAATCTTTCACCTCTGGGGTCATCAGTTCAAGTTCAGCCCTGAGACAGTGAAGCTAGCTGGCCATTCAGTAGCTGAGATGAGTTAATAGGTGGTGGGTGCTGATCAACTGCTTGTTTGGCTGTCCTGGTGCTGAAGCCAAGCACTGAAGAATCAGGAGCTTCCCCCTCCCTTCCAGCAGGGGATTCCCCTAGGTCAGTGTGGACTGTCCTATGGGGAAAGCTTTGCATTGCCTCACCATTACAAATAGCTAAAGGCCTCCTACTGGAGAGGGGCTGATCTGGCGTGTCTTAGCTACATGGGAGGAGGTTAGATTTCCATTGTCTGCCTGGCCCAAGTGGAGCGATTCTACCAACATTGATAGCAGTTTTCTTCTTTCCAGCCCCATCATGTCCCCCCCGGCTCTAGCACAAAGCCCTGGCATGGCCCAGGTTCCTACGTCCTTGACACCGGAGTATGGAGTGGGCACCTTAGGGTCCTGGGTAAGTTCCCGGGTTTTTTTTTTGTAAATATATTGCACGTTTTTTCAAAGTTTCTTTTTTGTTTCCTTTTCCAATCATTCCCCACCCCAAAGGGTTAAATAGAAAACTTTGAAAAACCGCACAGTATATTCAGAAAAAAAAAAGGGGACTTATCCGCCCCCTTAAAGGGGCAGCACCATGGGGGTGGGAGGAGTTCCGGGGCCATTGTGAGGCTGCATGCTGGGGTGGCACAGAGGAGGCAGGACAGGAAGCCTGGGAGCACCTTTAGGCATTAGAGCGGTATCCTTTCCTTGTATTGCAAGGGCTTTATCCCATGCTGCATAGCCTGCGTGAGGAGCCTGAGAAGAGAGGAATGTGGACAGCACCAGTAGTAAGGTGTCTGCATCTCCTAGTGGAGTGGGGGCCTTGGAGGAGGCACCAAGCAATATCTTGAGTACCTCTATCCCTCTGCTTCTTATCCACAGGCCAGCAGCAGCTGACAGTCCAAAATGTGTCTGGCAACAACCTGACCATCAGCGGCCTGAGCCCCACCCAGATCCAGCTGCAGATGGAGCAGGCGCTATCTGGCGAGATCCAGCCTGGGGAGAAGAGGAGGCGCATGGCATGTACATGCCCCAACTGCAAGGATGGGGAGAAAAGGTGAGTGGGCTGGGGAGGGGAGCAGGAAAAGGCTCAGACCTCCCTCCTTCCCCTCCCCCCCTGCACTGTCACTGAGGGTAACACTCCCTGGCTGCCTCTCCCTCTAGGTCTGGGGATCAGGGGAAGAAGAAGCACATCTGCCACATCCCCGAATGTGGCAAGACCTTTCGTAAGACCTCACTGCTGCGGGCTCATGTGCGCCTGCACACAGGCGAGCGACCTTTCGTCTGCAACTGGGTCTTCTGTGGGAAGAGGTTCACACGCAGTGACGAGCTGCAGCGGCATGCCCGGACACATACAGGTCTGTAGCCCACTCCCCTTCCCCTCCTCCGTGGACCTGCCTCTCTCCCTTGCTCATATCTTGTCCGACACCCCGGGTAGTGCTTCTGCCTCATGCACCTACTGCTTTGCTGAATGAGCCATCAGGAGGTGGCATCTGACGCATATGAGGTTGGCCTCTGCTGCCTTCAAATTGTCCCAGCCTAGCACGACCTTCTGTTGTCTGTGCAAGGGGAAGGAAGTCTGGGCCTTGGGAAGGGCTATCACCTAGGTGTCATCTTCCAGGTATGAAGCAGGCAGTTTCATGGGTACGTTGAAGTGTGGAACGTTTAAGTCTTCAGTGCTGTGGGGCATGCCAGGGGCCTGCTCTCCAGCAGCAGCCAGCACTGGGCATCCAGGCACTGACCATAGCTCTTGTTCCCCACTCCCCTGACAGGTGACAAGCGTTTTGAGTGTGCCCAGTGCCAGAAGCGCTTCATGAGAAGCGACCACCTGACGAAGCACTATAAAACCCACCTGGTCAAGAACTTGTAGGGCCAGTGGCAGCAGTGGGGCTACCTGCTGGCCACTTAAGTCCCTCGTGAAGGGTTCCTGCAAGGGTACAGCGTAGGGAACGCACAGATGGCCAGTCTGGAACTCGGCAGCCCTCATCCCACTCCTGGTTTCAGCATCCTCGTGGAGGTGTCTGCACAGGGAAAGGAGTCAATGGGGTTGTCCTTCCACAGAGGCCATCCACTCTGCTGCGCAGTCCTTGGGAACCCAGCTCCTCTACTCACAGAGTATGTCAGACCTGGACATTGATTGCACGGGCCACAGCACTTAGGACCGGGGCAGAGGAAGGGACCTTCATTTCCAAAGGAATATGCTCAGATGGGCATGAGAAGCTGAACCACCTCTCGGCGCCACAGGCTGAGAGGGACCCGCCAGCAGCACTGGGCACCCCTTCCAAACGGGCCTTGTGCAAGTGGCACAAGGATATCATCGAAGCTTTCTCACAACAGTCCCGCCTCCCCCATGTGCTTTGGAAGCTTTGACATGACAGAGGGGGGCACCACTCCATGGACAGGCTTGGAAGAGGCCACCTGGCATTCTGCAGCACATTCCTACTTTATATTTAAAATGTATAAATATCTATAAATATATATATATAAATATCTATATATATATAAATATATATAAACTCCTTTGAAAAAGTCCTTTTTTCTATGGAGATTGTTGCCTTACGCTCCCAGTTCCCAATTATGAACACTGTGTAATGTGAGTGCTTCTTTATTTTTATTTAATTGCTCCCTTTTAATAAGCTGCCCTTCCCTTCTCCCCACATCCTTTCCCTGCTGAAGTTTATTTTACAATAATGAAGAGGTTTTTTTCTCTCCACCTGTTTATATATATATATATGTATATGTATATTCCCCTCCCCCCTCTCTTTTCACTTCCAAGTGGCATGGCGTTTCACTTCAAATCTTGAAACTGTCAATCACCCTTGATACAGAGCCCCCCATCCCAACTGTGTATAGTGTATATTGTATCATAGACTATATTGCTTTTGTGGTTCCTACATGTTTCAAAAAACATATGAACTGTTATTTTTGAGCTTTTAAATTAAAAACAAATCCACTTTATTTTTTAGTTGTAACTGCTTATGAATTAGGTGACGAATCTGTTATTCTTTATTAACTATGTAACTGGTTGGCCAGCATGGAGTCAGCCAAGAGGTTTTTCTTTTTTCTTGCTAAATAAATTTAGTCACCAGCAGCAAACCCAGTACAGCATTTGAAGCCAAGGATCCTTTGTCTGAGAAGTGTGGTGTCTGGTAAGCAAGAACAGCTGTTGGGGCAAGGAATCATGGAGTGCTTGATTAGTGGGGCTGGTCAGTTGTTTGTATAACTAGCAGCTAGAGAGTTCCATAGAGCTGTAGACCCATAAAGACTGTCTCTGCCCTGAGGAGCTTACATAGGCTGCTATGTAGACAAGACCAAGGTAGAGGAGGATATGGGAATAGAGCCCACTAGGCCAGTGCTTTACCTCATGGACCACGTTAATTTACTTGCGTTTAGCCTCATCATGCTAAGAGCTGTACATAACATCAACAGTCCTTGTCCTCAAGAGGTCTAGAGCTTTTTCTACAGCGAGTCATTCTGAAGTTGCTGTTTCAGAATAACTCCATGCACAGACAGTTTCCAGACCAGTGTATGCAGCAACTCGTGGAATTCATCACCACAGGAGGTTTTAGAGGCAGATAGCATGGCCAGATTCAAAAAGGTACTAGACAAATTCATGGATGATAGAACCATTAATAGCTATTAAACAGAACAGTCAGGGGTGTGTCCTCTGGCACCTCTAAACCAATGATGGTGGATACCAAGAAGGGTATGGATTACACCAGACATGCTCTGTACATATTTTCTCTTGCCCCTATCAGAGAGAGGATAGAAGGCTAGATGGACCATTGGTCTGACCCAATATGGCGCTGCTTGTATTATGTTAACAAGACTGTCCCCACACAGTTATGTTGCATTCTAAGCTTGTGCTGCACCTATTGCAAGCTCACTTCTGAGTGTAGGCAAGGTCTCCCAGTTAGTAACCTGTTAGCTCCCATCTTTCAGAGCTTCTCATCATCACACCTCCCAACACACACACACTGGCCTAAAAGCCTCCTGTCATTGCATCCAACCTCAGTTGTGGGTCTGTGAGTCCCTCTATCTGGAGATGAGATGAGCTTTACACTGACCTGCCCAGCCTCATACCATGACTTGGTGATTCCTTACAAACAAGCTTCCAGGTAGCAAGAAGCCCTTTTGCAATACTCCCCACTTGTCAGCCTTAATCCAAAATGGAAAGGAGGAGCTGGAGCCTGAGTTCCCCCTCCAAAGCTGCAGTACAATGGGGTTGCATAGCAGAAGGCCTGCTGCTGTCCATGTTCTGTCATCATTACCCAAATGCTTTCAGTCTCCAGAGCATTAAGGCCACACCTCATTCACGAGCTCTGGGTAGGAGAAAAATACAGCAACTGATCAAAAAGGCTAGGAGAGAGCTCAGACACTGAAAACAATGGCATGTCACCATTACTTTCTCTCCCATCTGTCCCCTTCCTACCCTGCCATGTTAAACCAACTTCAGCATCTGCAACTAATCATCTTCTAGAAAGCCCCAGTCTCAGCCTGAACCTGGTGGAGCTGGCCAGAGGCTGTAGCAAAAAAGCCATTTGGATTTTTTTTTTCCATCTTCAGGTTGACTTTTGGCTTGGGAAGTGTGTGTGTAGATGGGGAGGGTAAATAATAGGCTGGCAGGGAGGAAGGAATTACTAATTAAAATGATTCTGTCAGCTTCTTGGTATCTTAAGATGCTACCTTTAGTATAATGAACCCAGAAACTATGGGGATAAACAATTAGACAAATCCACTCCACTTCCCATGAGCAGAAATGACTGAGCCTATACTGTTAGAGTCCAGCCTTTATTAGGGAAGAGGAAGGATTATTTTATTTACAAGAAATAGAATATGTGTCAGAACTGAATTTCTTTACAGGAAAAAAAATAATTCTCTTGGACACAGTTAAATTCTAACAGCTTCAGCGAGCAGGAAATAGATTTGAGTGATCCAAGGAGCTACTGTGTGAGGACAGACATTGCCCCAGGTTGAGAGGAGATAGAGAATTCCACCCTCCCTGTTCAGCGTGGCAATATTTCTACCTCAGTCCAATGCCTAAAGCTGTGGCCTAGATGGGATGGTTTTCATCTCGAGTCTGGTAAGAAATGTTTCAAATGAAACTTACCCTGGGGGTCTTTAAGAGGAGGTTGAATATGCATCTAGCTGGGGTCATCTAGACCCAGCCCTCTTTCCTGCCTATGCAGGGGGTCGGACTCGATGATCTATTGAGGTCCCTTCCGACCCTAACATCTATGAATCTATGAATTCTCTCTGGCCGATCTACAGCACAGGACCTGCACTGTTCTCCGCTGCCTGCCCCTGGCCAGCACTATCCCTTGGACAATAAACCTTGGAAATGCTGAGGAGGCTCTGGAGTGAATGCAGAGCCTCACAGATCTGGGATTCTCAAATGGAAATTACTAGACTTAGATTTCAAACATGGACCGTGCAGGATTTTGCTTGGCAAATGTGGAATCCCAGCACAGACCAGCTCTCCCTGCCCTGTGCACTACAGAAGATGGAATGGAGGATTGACCATGCGAGAACAGACCCATGGGTGGTCCATCTCATCAGCCCCCTTCTCCAACAGTGACACACACCATGTACTTCAGTGGAGGATAAATCCTTCCCACACTGACACCTACACTTAATTCTGGCCACTAAGCAGGCATCAAGTCCTGAAGTACAGGAGGGTTCATGTCTTGCCACTCCTGACCAGGTAACATGCCTCTTTACAAGTGCTGTCTCCATCATACCCCACCCCCAATCACTGCTGCATGGAAGGGAGCCCAGGTCAGCTGTGCTGTCATACTGCTCTCCCTGCCAGTGCCTAGGATGGTGAGGGAGCAATGGGTCCTCTAAGGAGGATTTCTGCAGTGACTGGCTCACCACTGCTGGGATGGAACCTCGTGACATGCCAGCCTTCGTGTCTTTCACTCCATCTTGACGATCATTTTCTTGACTGCTCTCCTAGAGGTACCGCACTTGCTGTTGATCACGGCATTGAAGTTGCAGCCCCTGCCGCATGCTCTGGTGACGTACTCTAGGGACAGGGTAGTGAGGAGACAGAATGCACACTCTAATGCTTGCTGGCTTATTAATAGTGGATAGATGGATCACTCTGGATCCCAAGTACTCAATACTCCTGTGATTCTACAGTACATAGGACACAGAGGACAGATGAAAGGCAGAAATGAGCTGACCACATGCCTGGGAGCCAGTACTCTGAGGCAGGGGGAGCGGGCATCTGTCTACATCATGTCAGACACTACTAAGGAGCCTTGCTGTGATACACATTCACCTACATGCTCCTACCTTGCATGAAAACATGTGCCTACCTCGTGCTGAAAACAAAAGTCATGGCCAAAGCATGAGCCCAGAGCCAAATCTCAGGCTCCTGGCCATGGACATAAATGGGAGGGTGGCATTAGGCAGCAGTGCCACTCTAGTGGCAGCTACTTGACAGCTTTTCTGCAGTCAATCCACAGAGTGTGGGCAAGTGTTTTTTCACAGCACCTAGCACCATCCAATATCCAATTTCAGATCTACCACCAGATTGTTACAGTCTTGGGCATCGCTTATCTAACTGATCTTGCATTTACTACACCAGTATCTTGGTGCTGTATTGTGACAGTAATCCTTATGTCACAGGAACAATGCAAAGTGGACAGTTAGTTAGATCCAATTTGTCAGCACCATGAGAGCATGTAAAGTGCTGTGGACAAGATTCACAGGTGATTAATGATTTTGGCTGCCTCAGAAGAAAGATGCCTATTTGAGACGTCCTGTACAGGTTTCCAGCCAGTGCTTAGCACTTGCACCCAGACAGCAGGATCCCATTGAAGTGTCTCAAGTCAGGCCCCCATGTCACTGGCCACTTCAGGCAACCTTGGTCTGTTGATGTTATTTAACTGGCTGCAGTGCCCCCAGCTGTGCTACATAATAGCACAACTTGGAAGGGCTAAAAGCAGCCTGTCTGAAGCATCACTCACTCTTACCTTGAATACTGTTTAGTTACATTTTGCAATCCCATGGGCCTGACCCAGCCATGCTTTTGGCTGCAACTTGACACTGGCTTTATCTGCACAAGCTCAGCTGCTATAGTTCTGCCAAAACAGCTGTATCAGCAGATCCCCAGCATTTACAGCCAGTTTTCTGCTGGCCTAGGTTACGCTACCTCTCTGAAAGAAACAAGCTATGCTCTGTTTTATCTGCACAGCTGTGTCCACACCGGGGGGGGTTGTTCCTGGAGTAGCTTTGCCAGCAAGGAGGTTTGTTTTCATGCCCCCAGCCAATGCAACTGTGCTGGCAAACTTTGTAACCCATGATTGCTGGGCACAATCAACCCTGTTGGGTTGATTGTTGGGCAGGGAGTTGGGTTGCTTTTGTTACAGGCAAGGGAGGACTTCACCATGCAGACTAGGGTCTAAATGAAAAGTGTTCCCAAAGCGCAGCCCAACTGACTGAAGGAATTATGAATGGGGTGCAAGCCTTTATTCTCTAGTTCCCCAATTCAAATTAAAGCCACCTCAATATGGTTTCCTTCCTGTGGTCTATGCATGGCCAAGGGGAAACAAGTGGAGCATCTCAGGCCATATGCCAGCAAGGCAGCTAATTTACATCACCTATAGTCACCTCTGCCACTGGTACTGTGAAGCCAGCTTGGGGAGGGTCTGAGCCAAGAATGGAGCAGGTTGTCCATACTGGAGGGGCTGCCGTAGGATACTAGCCATACTGGAGTGGAAGTTCAAAGTGCCCTTGATTTCCCTGTCCACCTGTCCTGGGATTCCCTCCCCAGCCCCAGCAAAGTCACTCCCAAATCAATGAAAACAGTATAGGGCAGGAGGAATCTGGATTAAACAGCATCCTCTTCTTCAAAGCCTGTTGGGGGGTGGTAGGGAGAGGACAACCCTTCTCAGACAGGCTGTTTCCACCCTCTGCTTCTCTATCCTTTCCAAACCTTGCCTCACTCACAGAACCAGTCCCTACCTTTGATAGCGTTAACCACTATAACGGGCAGGCGGATGGGCTTCTCCATGGTAGTGTTGTTGTGAGCGATGCGCTGGCCAGTGGCTGACGACCTGGCGAGTGTCTCCCGGGAGAAAAAGTAATCCAGCAGGCGCCTGGTCATCAGCTTGGGCTTGTCAGTGGAGACCTGCGAGAGGTCATCCAGCTGATGGTGGGTGATATAGACCCCAGAGTTGGGGGTCAGCTCCAGCTTGGGCCTCCCATTCTCCTGTGGCAAGAGAGAGCCCCATTGTTATTCCACTACTCTCCCCTGCTCACTGTGGCTGCCCAGAGCCTCCTTGGGTTGAATCAGACTCCACTGGAGAGCCTATGCAGGTGACATGGGACAGACTAACCCCAGCCATCCTACCACAGACTTCAGCTGGAGCATATGGGCTGCACTGCAAACCTACTGACAATCACACTGGCTTTGTTCACTCTAGCCAGCCATGGGTTCAGGATGTGGCCATTCACCTACAGCCAAGCAGGCAAAGACAGAATCTCAGAGAAGACAGGAGTGGGTTTGTATTTTCCAGAGGGAGGGAGCAGTGTTGTCAGTCGCGCTGATGGGGCATCAGACCTCCTAGACTCTGCAGCTGACTAGCTTATGCAAAAAGCCAAAGCTCAGGGTGCCTCCCTGACTGCAAGAGAGAGCCAATGCTGACCCTGCCAGATTGCTAAGGCCCTGTGGGATGTTAGAGAAATGCAAATTAACAGTGCTGCAGAAGGACAGGATCTGCTGGGAGTGACAAGCATTCTGTGCCTTTCCCTTCAAGACAGATACCATCATCACCATGCAAACCTCACTGAAGTCAGTGATACCACATGTGCAGGAGCTGCTCCCTTCCCTCCCCTCCCCGGGGTTACAACCCATTACTGTATGCATTTTTAAATAATAAACAATCTAATTGTTAATTGTTTGCCTTCTTCAGCTCCTGGTACTTCAGGAGCTCAAATCACTTTAAAAACATTAAGGAACTAAGCACCATGACCCTGAAGTGAAGAAAGGTGTCAACAGCTCCCATTTTACAGATGTGAACAGTGAGGAAAAAAGGTTGAGTCATGCCTTTTATCAATTAGTGGCACATCTGGAAGTGGAACCCAGGAGTCCTGACTTCGTCCCCTGCACCAAACACTAGGCAACACTCTCTTCTACAGTCAGACTTAGAACCTGGGATTCCTACCCCTGAACCTAATGCTCTAGCCCTCATGAACCCTCACACCAGCATTTCAACGGTGATGCCTCTCTTCTCCTTTGACCAAGAGCTGACCTGAGATAAGGTGGAGCTTGTCTCAGACCAGCTACCACAACAAGACTTTGAAGTTGAATCCTTCTTAGCACCCCAAACATCATAGGGAACAAAACTACAAACACACCCTCCTCAGGAGAGTTGCCAGTGCCAAACTGACAATAGGAGCATCCCCTCTCATCCAGGATTGAAATGTTTCACCCCCAGTTCCCAAGGGTCTGAGAAGTCCATGCATCTCAGAAAGCTCTCTGTGCGTCCCACCCAGCCCCCACTGCACACTGTGTGGGTGAAAGCCAGAGTCTTGGGAATTTCAGACTCCTGCACATGGCATGTGCCACCCAAGTGTCAGAAAGAAGGAACTGAGGATTTTGAATCTCAACAGCACAGCTGTTCACCCACCTAGGTGTCCAGCATCGACCTGTGAAGGCTGTTTGGCACTGGGACAGGTCACCTAAAAATACAGTGCAATCTCCATCACTGGAAGGTTGTAGGTTAAACCAGCATTTGTTTGGGCTGGTGCAGACAGGGATGATCCTACAGATGGATGATCCTGCCTCAAGCAGGGAGCTGGACTAGGTGACCTCCTGAGAGCTATTCCCACCCTATGATTCAGTAGTTCATTGATCTCCCCAGGTCACCTTTTAAGTGTCTGCCACCAGTGTAGAGGCTTCAGGTCATGGAAGAGCCTTGGACCAGATTAAGGAGGGGAATCTCACAGCAGGGCCCATTGCTCTAGAGGAGTGTATCTTGGAGAGGTCACAGGTACTTCCCAGCTGGACTTCTGCCCAGACAAGGTACAGCCTGGAAAGGTTTTGGTTCCTCTAGTACTGAGGGCCTGGAACTGACTGTCCTGCTGGAAGGGAGGGATGGCCCCAATTCTACCCAACCCAGCATTACATATCACCCACTGTGAGGGGTAGTGCCTTCCTGAGGTCCCTATAGTCAAGGCAGTGCCACAGGTAATGCTCCTATGGCACCTGATCAGGCAGCCCCAGAATCACTCACCTCCATGGGCGATGCCCACACTGGTGTCCCATCAGGCAATGTATCTTGAATGCTTTCCTCCCATAAGCAGGTGGCATCACTGAGCATGGCCGGGCTCCCCACTCCATCATCTGTGCTCACCCAGGGGGAGAAGCTGCTTGGGACCACAGCTCGCATCCTCCAAACAGGGGGGCTCTTTGGGATGTCAGCAGGGGTGCACCTCTGCTCCCCAGCACTCGGAGAGAAAGACTGGAGGCCGTTGACCTGCAGGAGAACGCCCAGACCTGTTGCTGGCAGGGCGGGGTTCATGGTGGAAACCCTGGCTAATAAACGAGTGACCCACTGCTCCTGTTCCTCCTAACTCCACCCCAGCCACATTGCCTCCCTACCTCCCAGGAAGAGAAAAGGCTCTCTTGCCTGCCCAGCAGAAAGGGCCAGAAAAAAAACAAAACCTGTTGGGAGATTCAGAGAAACAACCACAACTGGAGTCAGGAGGGGCATCCTGAGCCAAGGGCTGATGCAATAAGGTGGTATAAATATCTGGAGAGGGGACACCAAGAAAGGTGCCTAGGAGATCAGGCTGGGAGCTGAAGTGATACTAAGGGGATACAACCAAGATAGGGGCAGAGAAAAATCACAGCAACTGAACAGGGAGTCCTGTTGGAGCATGAAATCATCTTGCCTGGGAGCAGAATTCCCTGTTCTGGGATGTTTAAACTCAGACTGGATACAGCCCTAGAAAGTGTCCTCCATGGATACTAAGCCCCAGGGCCTGGGCCAGGTGGGATCTAGGGGAGCTTCTCTTCACCTCTGGGGTGTGCAATTCATATGTACCCAAGACATTTGGGCAATGGGTAGGGGAAAGTTTTCCACTTGAAGGATTGAAGCTTGGGCAATGGAAGACACCCAGGCACCTACCTGTAATGCTGAGTTGCTCTCTAGCAGCCCCACCAGGCCCTTGAGGAACTGGATGTTGCTCTCGTTGATGTCTGAGAAGACATGCAAAGACGCAGCTGAGCACTGCAAAGGCCTATGGAAAACCAACCATATCCCTGGACAGGCTTAGGCTGCTCAGGGGTCACTTGCAAGTCCCAGAAGCAGAGAACAGGCTTATTTTACTCAGAACCCCTTCTGTCCCATCCTACCAATCACTCCTTCCTTCAAGCATGTGCCCATCCAGATCCTAGCTAAGGAGGCAGATGAGCAGCCTTCATTGACTCAGCCTCAACATGCTTTCCCAGAAGGTCTGCCATGCTCTTCTCTGCAGCTGCTATAGCTACAGGCCCAACCCCCAGCCCTGGTCCAGCAAAGGGACCACGTTGGACACACTGCGATGCTCAGCAACCCTCATTCTGGGCAGGGTCTACAGCCAAGCCCAGAGTTTACACATGGACTTTCCCCTCCCTCTTCTAGGGAGAAGAGGTTTGCCCTGCTGAATCCATTGCCATGGGGTTGTCCAGCTCAACAGCTGCCTCCTTGATGTTCCATGAAAGGGCAACTCTCCATCATGTGGACTGGGTCATTTGAAGCCAACTGGACCCTGCTAGAAGTCAGAAATAGGAAGGTCCTTCTGACCCTACAGAGAAGCCTGAGATGTGGCAACCCCCTGCAAGCACCCTGTAATGCAAGCAAGCCAAGGAAGCCAAAGGGGAAGTAGGACTCTGTTACCAATGCCACCAGCGCCAGGGCCCAGGACTGTCCTCACTGCAGCCACCCCTGACCCTCCTGCCCCATTCCTGC